GGCTTACATAAAAGCAATTTTAAAAATATTTTAAAAAAGATTAAAACACAGAACAGTACAACTTAAAAACAGAAAACACAACATGCACTCAGTTATAATGGGGCTGAAGTTCAGTCAAGCTCAACAGCCCCAGGCCTGCCGGAACAGCCAGGTCTTAACGGACTTACGGAAGGCCAGGAGAGTGGGGAGGGTCCAGATCTCAGGGGCTAGATCGTTCCAAAGGGCTGGGGCAGCAACAGAGAAGGCTCACCCCAGAGGAGCTGCCAGAGGGCATTGTGTGGCCAATGGTACCCGGAGAAGGCCCGCCCTGTGCGATCTTATTGGATGCTGGGAGGTATGTTGCAGGAGGCGGTCACGGAGATATCCAGGTCCTAGGCCATGTAGGTAATAACCAACACCTTGAAGCGTGTCCGGAGACTGATGGGAAGCCAGTGCAGCTCACGGAGGATAGATGTAACATGTATCGCTCATGCAGCTGCATTCTGGACCAATTGTAGCCTCCGAACACTCTTCAGGGGCAGCCCCATGTAGAGCGTGTTACAGTAGTCGAGCCTTGAGGTGACATGCCATAAGTGGAGAGAGCGCAGCGGGGGTCATGTGCGGGCATGCTGCACCCATAATGCAATGAGTGGTCTCCCTCTCCAGTGTGCATGCACGCACTACAGGCGCTCCCCCCATTTTTGCATGCTTTTTTCACCTTCCCCAGGCTCCAGAGGCCTTATAGGAGCCTGGGGAAAGCGAAAACAGCCTTCCGCCGCCTTGGAAGCCCTCTGGAGGCTTCGAGGATGTTCAGGAGGCTTCCCTGAAGCCTCCAGAGCAGTCAAAATGACTCTCCGAGCAAAGGGGAAGTCACTTCCAGTTTGCTCAGAGGGCCATTTTAAGTGCTCCGAAGGCTTCAGGAACCTTTAGCTACAGGAACCTTCAGCTTCAGGGACCTTCAGGAGGCTTCCTTGAAGCCTCTGGAGCAGTTAAAATGACAATCTGAGCAAAGTGGAAGTCACTTCCAGTTTGCTCGGAGGGTTGTTTTAAGCGCTCCAAAGGCTTTAGGGACCTTCAGGAGGCTTCCCTGAAGCCTTCAGAGCAGTCAAAAAGACCCTCTGAGCAAAGCGGAAGTCTGTTCCCAAACTTCTGGTTTGTCTCCTGGGTTGTCTCCAACGCAGTGAAGCGGTTGACGCGATGTGCCAGTGCCTCGAGGCTGTTAGGGTCTGGATGGGGGATAACAAGCTTGCACTCAATCTGG